ATAACCCTTTTAGCATTATAAAAACCACAAAAAAAACCCACCTTGTATTTTGTAAATATTTTCTTTTCCTGCTTTGAGCTGTGTAATGTCCTTGTTATATAGAAATGCTTTTCTTCCGAGAAGCTGATCTTTGTTAATGTCTTGATTCTGTTGGCAAAGCACAAATGTGCTTATAAAAAAAAAAAAAGAAGAAAAGATTAAAAAAAAAATTAAAACAGAATATTCTATGCAACGTGTGTTTGTGAAATGCCAGGTTGGGAAGCGGAAGGGCCCTTCCGTGCGCTCAGCCCGCTCTCAGGCAGATCAGCCGCTTCCCTCCCACCGTGCGTTTGAATGGCCTCTTTTTTTCCTTTATGATGTTATTGTCAGTGAAAAGAGGAATTGTTCAGCGGGATCTCCGGGTTTGAGCTTTGCACTGGGATCTGTGATGGAGCAGGACCGGGGCTTGGTGGCGCTTCCCTGGGAGAGCTCAGGAGAACCGAGCTCTGCCTCGCGTCGCTCGGTCAGACCGCCCGGGGTGGGCGAGGGTTTTATTTCACGTTTTCGGGGTTAACCGGTTGCTGCTGATTCGCAGCCAGGTGCCGTTTGTGCAGGTTGTTTGCCCTTGCGGCGGGTTTTGCTGTGGAAGTTGAGTGTTTGCAAGAGGCAAGTGGTGGGAGGCGACTCCCTTGGGTGCTCTTAAATTTCCAAGGTAAGAGAATTACACTTTGTGCCTTGTTACCTGAGTGGATGGGAAACAGGAAGGTGCTGGGTGATTATTAGCCAGATGATCAAAGTAGGAGGCAGCAACCTGGGCATCACCGGGTTTGTTACAAGTAATTAACAGGGGAGGAAAAACCCAACCCAATCTGAAGGGAGGAAAAACCCAGCCCAATCTGAAAAGCAAACGATGGCAGCTGTGGCTGCACCAGCAGCTGCGCTGCATTGGAAACTCCTGACCTGCACAAGGCCACTGAGTCCTGGGGAAGGTGCGGAGCAAAGGGCTTGTGGTGCTGCTTTGTGGCTGCCGAAGGGCCGGTAACGGGGGATCGTGGGCTGTGAGAGCTGCAGCTGTGACGGGCTGGAGGTGGCTGGAACTGGGGAGGGGGGGAACAAGGCGTTGTTGTGGTTCGAAGCAGCCGGTGAACAGCCCCAGTGCTCACTGGTGCTGCGGGGGCAGAGCTGAGAAAATGTCTTGTCCATGGTCACACAGTGAGCCAAAAATAAAACTTGGGCTTCCTGGCTGCAGGGCTGTTGCCTGCGCTGCCCACCGGGCAGGGCCTTGCCTTCCTGCACCCCAGTTTGCCGCAGGAAGAAGTGCGGCCTCGCTGCGTGCTGCAGGGACAGGGAGCTGGTGAAGCCACAGCCTGGGCTGCGGTGGTACTTAAAAAGAAGAAAAAAGAGAAGAAAGTCCCTGCCCATCTTTACCGCTCCCCAGTAGCTGGTCCCGCGGCCCCGGTGTGCTGGCACCACTGCCGGGCGATTGGCAATCCCAGCGCGCGCCCCTCTGCGGAGGGGAGAGGACGGACCCTCGGTGTGGCCAAAACCTAGCCTGAGCCCGAGCCCAAGCCTGAGCCCAAGCCTGAGCCCAAGCCCGCGTGCTGGAGAAGCCCCTGGTGTGCCTGGTCCCAGGTCCCTCCTGCTCCCCAGGCGCTGCCCGGCTCCCTCCCCCTGTGCAAAAGAGGTGGCGTTTATCGTAGTAATGACTTTATTTCCAAATTCACTTTTACGGCAACAGTGTAAACCAGTTGTTAAAACGCACGATACACTATGGACATTCACAGACAGAAGCTAAGCTAGAATGATACACTGAGATCAAACCTTCCCTCCCCTCCCCAGCGCACCGCAGGGAACACGGGGCTGCCAGCACCACCGGCAGTCTTGACACTGGAAGTTCACTTAACAAGCATATTTTTTTTTTTGAGTGCAGAAACATGTTTTTTTGAATCGGTGCCAGTTTTAACCCTTTTCAGACCAAGATGTGTGTGGAGTAAAAGAAAAGCCATAGGTCAATCTGTCCAGCTGCTCGTGGTAACCCTCAGGGTCTGAACGCAGGGCCGGGGCTGGGGATGCGGCTCGGGCTGCTGGAAGGGGACAGCGTGGGACGCGGTGGATGGAAAGGGCTGTCCGGGACCCCTGGCAGGCCCCGTGGCAGGGACAGGGGTGCGAGGAGGACGGCAGACAGGGCTGGGGACGCGTGCTCAGCTGAGGACACTCGCAGCGGGAAGGGGCTGCTCACTGGAGCTCGCCGCATGCTAAGGACGGCCCTGGCCCGGGGTGTTGGTGTCCCTCGGGAGCTGCACAGAGGGGCCGGGAGGTGGCTCGGGGCTGGGCCGGGACAGGCAGGCTCAGCTAAGCGCGCCGTCCTGCAGC